GTGGTCCCGATTACGGGGTTCGATTCTGTTTCAGGCTGTCCTGTTCTCTGTGCCGTCTCAGGGAACGTTGTTTCCGGTAAATGGATTTCTTAAAGGCAAAAACGGAGGAGAAAGCTTGACGGCGAGAGCCAATTTCGGATCCAAGCTTGAGGTGGGAGCCAATTCCGGATCTAAGACGGAAGATTGAAGAAATTCAGAGGATAAGGTTAGGTGGGATATAGTTTTGGATGTGGGTTTTTTTTTTAAGGGGAAATCGGGGGGGGAAGCGAGTTTTCAAGCTTCTGCAAGGTTACCAGTTTGGTTTTTCATTAGAGGTTTTTGAAGATCAAGGGAATTAGAGAGAAGAGCTTCATGCTTCGGGTCGGGGAAGGAAAGACATAGAATTTGGATTTTTCTTCTTCGTAGAGTTTTGGGGAAGACTGAGGCAATCGTTGCTGAAGTCAGTGTTGTAATGGTGAATCGGGATTTTAAATGAAGTGGGTTTGAATACTCTTGACTGTTTTGTGAAATCGAGTTACGTCTGTGATTGAAGGATTAAAAGGGTATCTATAGGATTGAGTATGCGGAGTGAATGAAATTTATTGGGTTAATCTAACAAGACAGTCAGTGGATACAAGATCGTAAGTACAAAGCAGTATTGAAGGTTAACAGTTTGGGTTGTAGGAGGTTCTCTGTAACGTCTAGAGATCTACCGGCTGGGGCAAAAAGGACTTCGACAAGCAGTCGAAGAGCACCCGTATAGATTTACGGTACATTGTTGCAGTCGTTTATATTCCAGCAGTCAAAAACTGATAGACTGCTTGACTATCGGCGAATCTCCATACTACCTTCTACAGCCAGACGCCCGGCGCGTTCTCGAGCAGGAAAGCACGTAATACGACAGCGGTTGTCACAAATAATTGCCTGAGATATAAGTTCTTCTAAAGTATCCGCCTTAGGCATGGTGATCAATAAGTTCTTGACATCATCTCTCAGTCCATATCGAAATCGTGTCATGAACGCCTTATCATTCCAATCAAGATCACATGTAAGCTGTTGAAATTCTGCAGCATAGATTGCAGCAGAACGTGATCCTTGTCGCAGATTTTGTATCTTTCTTTCAGCCACTCTTTCTCGATCGCTATCTCCAAACGCAGCAGTAAGTCTCTCTATGAAAGCCTCTAGGTCGTACAATATTGGAGAATCCTTCTCCAATAGTGGAGGAAACCAAGAGCGAGCATTTCCTGATAGAAGAGTACCTATGAAAGCAACCTGGGTAAATCCATTCGGATAACGAGAAGGGTATAGGCGTAGGTAAAGTCGTACTTGTTGCACAAAACCTCGAAAGTTGGCTCTTGTTCCGTCAAACTTGTCTGGCATACTCGCTTTTGGTTCTTTCGTACTAATCCTTGAAGTATCTATAGGGGTCGTATGTGACACATGTCTTGCTTCTCTCAGTCGAATAATCTCTTGTTGTAGGCTATGAATTTCGCGTCTAGCTTCTTCGGTCACTAGATCAATTTGAGGTTCTTTACTTGGATTGCGAAGAAATACAATCTCCTTTCGTACACTATTCATAAGAGCTTGAAGATCTGCAAGAGTTGCCACTCTATTGTCTACTTGTGGAGATGCACTGTCTATGACCTGGTCTACTTCCATATTTAGAGAATAGATGGATTAAAATTTTGAGAGAAGAAGAAATTGCTAAGTCTCTTGGAGAAAATTGTAGCACTACTTGTCACTAAAACCTACTCGGAGAAAAGAAAAAAAAAACACTAAACGATTTCAGTTTTAGAGGAGGATAATCCGCAATCTCTAAAAATGCCTCAATGCTTTCGAGAAGAGGCGTAATCCGCACTCTATCAAGAAGGCAAAGCTCTGAAATCGATGTTAACAGTCTTTTCTACTAGCTATGCTAAACAAAAAGAAGGAATTAATATCAGTCCAAGAGAGGGTAATCCGCAACCCTTAGAACGCTCAAGTATCTCCAAGGAAAGGGGTAGTCCACTCTCTGCCTCAAAGAACTAAGCTCTGATATTGTGATTGAGAAAATATCAGTTTAGAGGAAGGTAATCCGCAACCCCTAAAGCGCTAGAATACCTTCAAGAAGAGGGGTAATCCGCTCTCAAACAAGAAGGATTCAGCTCTGATATTAAGATAAAGGTAGTCTCGACAAACTGTCACGGACACAAAATACAGACTTGAAATCTATCAAGAAGTTGAAGAAGAAGTGGCAGAACTAGATTAAACAGATGAGTACAAGAACAACACCAGAAAGGTGAGCTAGAACTCCAAGAGATGTGTTGTCGAGACTGAAGAACTCTTCAGCCTCGACTCCTATATATACTACTGGCCTATGGTTCTAAGGAAGCGCATCAAGAAGCTTCCCAAGAACTATGAAGCTTCTCGAGCAACTACCCAAGAACTAGGAAGCTTCTCAAGTAACTTCCTAGAATCTACTAGAATATTCTAAGAATCTTCTAGAGCCTTCTAAGGGAATCTTTAGGAAATCTTTGAAGAATATTCTAAGAGAATATTCAAGAAATCTTTTAGAAGTTTCTAGAAAGGTCTAAGGACTATGTCCCTAACAGATTGCTTCTGAACTTCACTATATAAAGCTACTATGTTTAGGCTAGCAAAAAAGATCAATTTTAATAAGAAAAATCTTATATTAGATAGATCAACGAAGCTCTTGGTAGGAGATGAAAGGGCACTCATGTGCCAAATCAACACTGGGATGGCTAAAAATGCTATTGACGTTGCTAAAACCTTAATAATATTATTAGTAATCATGTGACAACCCAAATCATTTGAAATTTTCTCAAGAAATTGAATATGAAAGCCATGGTGAAGAAAAAAAAGCCACTACTATCTACCCGCCATTGAAAATAACACTTGGATTTTGCTTTGAAGTACAAAGAATGGACTATGGAGGATTAGAAGACGATTATTTGGTCAAATGAGACAAAAATCAATAGATTTGGAATAGATGGCAGAAAGTAGATGTGGAAATAAAAGAGTCAATCTTTGCTTGATGAGAAGATCCAAAAAATAATTAAGCATGGGAGTGAAAGTATAATGGTATAGGGTTGTATAGGATGGAATGGCATTGGGAGGATGGCAGAGGTTGAGGGAAGGATGGATGCCAAGTAATTTGTGGAAATTCTTGAAGAAAACGTGCTCTTTAGCATTGAAGAATCTTGCATTTCTTAGGAGGAGGTGATTTTTCAGCAAGATAATAACTCCAAGCATAACTCAAAACTAGCATAGAAGTGGTTTGATCATCATGGAATTAAAGTAATGGATTGGCCTGCTTAGTCTCCTAATCTTAATTCCATTGAACATCTTTGGGAGCACCTCAAATTCCAGCTCAATACTTAGAAGATAAAATCAAAGGAAGTTTGGAAATTATGAGAAAGAATAGCAACAGAATACAATAATATTGAAGCAATTTTGTGCCAAAAGTTAATAGAAAGTATGCCTAGGAGGTTGGAAGCAGTTATCAAGGCCAAAAGAGGTCCTACGAAGTACTGATATGTAATTGGATACCACACTCAAAAATATGTTTCAATATTGTTCCAAATTAGATTGGTGATAGCTCCACAATTATCTAATGGATTCTTTTCAATCCAGGCTCATTTGGTAGCTATAAAAGAATAATTTATTTGCTATATAAACCACGTGTCATTATTCACTACGATTCATCTATAATACATCATTCTTTCCAAAATATGTCAATATTGGAATAGTTTTTGGAATTAGTATATATAATGACAACTTTAAATTTTTATTTATTTATCAAAATTACTTAAAAATTTTACATAAATATGTTATGAAAGTAATCACATCTACTAGATTTTAATTATTTTTATTTATACTAGTCTTTTAAATTCTTATTGCCAAAATCCTAAATCAATTATTGATTTTGATGCAAATTTATTCTAATAAAATAATATGAATTCATGTAAAATAAATTTAAAATATAGTATATATCTTAATGAACTTATATATATATATATATATATATATATAGAAAGAGAGAGAGAGAGAGAGAGAGAGAGATATTAACACTAAAATAAATAAATAGATGTAATTTTAATTTCAATAATGATAGTTTGAAGTTGTAAAATATAATTAAAAATCAAACTATTATAATATTAGAAGGAGCCATGACATTATTCCAATTAATCACTAATAACTATACATTAAAAAATATATGTTTAAAATCATTAATTTTTTATAAAAATAATATGCAAATACATTTTCATGGTAGATCTTTTATTTCATTATGTATATTATCACACGTAGCCTAGGATACGTCGTTTTGAATTTAAAGATTTTTCTTTGAAATATTCAATTTTTTACTACAAGTATGTATGATGTTTTTGAAAAAAAAAAAGAAAAAAAGGAAAAAAGGAAAAAAAATCACTTTATTGAACTACCTATTTTTAGCAGAAGTTATGTTTTATAAATCACAATTGAAATGTAAATTTGAAATAAATAAAGAAACCAATGAAAGTTTTTTTTAAATTTATTCACAAATCCGAATATATTAATATGAATTATATGGATGTTTTATTACTGTTTTTATTATCATTTTCACTATTAATTTTTATAGAATGTTAAAATATATAAGAAAGACATAGAAAGCATTTTTTAAAACTTATGAATCTATCAAAAAGAACAACAAAAAGAAATTAGTATAGTCGTCAAACACTTGTTGATGATCATATAAAGCATGGACACGTTCTATTAATCAAACCCATTTTTTCATCCATCAATGAAGCCCACACCAGCTCACAACAGCAGTCATTTATTCATTCATCCAGAGCCGTGCACCCCATTGTCATCCACAAGCAGACGATCCAAAGCCTGATGTATCGATACACGGCGTTATGTACCGAAAAATAACCTGACCCGTTACCTGTGTGCCTGAGCATATTCTGGCCTGTGCCAGTTTACCCGGGTATAAACTGATACAAATACAGGGTATATAATTTGGAAGCACGGATTCGAGGGGCGTCGCTGAATGGCTTTGGGGGAGTGGAGTCAACGCGTTGAGTCGTGATTCGATCGAAGGTGAAGTTGCGATTCGAGTGTGTGCGTCATCCGACCTCCGCCAAAGCTCCGCCAACCCGGAATCATGAGAACCCATTTACCACAAATTTGGTTTTAGTCGCCGATTTGGAACACTCTGCTGCAATGGAAATGGCGATGAAGAAGGAGGAGGATGCAATGGAGATGGTGACTTTCACCGTTATCGTAGACGACATTGTCTTTCCCGATGGCCGCACCTCCATGGCCTGCCTCGGCGGTGGAGGTGTTTCATTCTCGACTTACCCATGGCTTAATTTCCCTGTATCTGTTTTTGTTGATGATGTTGTTGTTGTTTTTTCTTCTTCTTCTTCTTCTTCTTCTTCTTCTATTTTTGTTTTTTTTGTTTTGTTTTGTTTTGTTTTGTTTTTTTTTTTTTTTTCAAGTTTTTGGCTCGTGTGTCAACCGCGCACATAGTTTGCTAGAATGTGAACATCTTCCGATTTTGGAGGGGTTCGTTTAGGCGATGAAATCGGATTTTTTGTGTAGTTCTGTACTTCTATGGCTGCTCATGATAGTCGAGCCTTGTCCATTGAAGGATTTTTCTTCTCAGTATGTCATTCTTAGAGAGACTGCGCGTATGCTGTGTGGTTCGGACTTCAATTATTTGTGTGAAGAGAGGTTCAGGAATTCAGGATCAAGGTGTGTATATGCTGCAGGACCTCAAACTGCATTTGGAGCGTTGCTTTGGTTATCAAATGGAGAAAGGTGAGGCTTGTTTCTTGTTCGGCTTTCCACTTTTATTGGCGTCCTCTGCACGTTCGTTGACGTCTTCTAACTAATGTGTTTTTGATGTGAACTGAGCACTCATGTGGGAGTTGTATTTGCAGGGTGGGACTGGCAGCAGGAATAGGGACAGATTTTCCAGATTCTTGTAGAGATTGGCTCAAAACAACGGGCGTTGATATAGGTGGCCTTTATATATGGCCATTCCCTACTCTAAGAGCGTGGCAGGTCAGGTGCATTCTATGACCCTTGATATCTTTAACGGTCAGTCAGATTAGATATTGGAAAGGATGATCAGGTCTCTCTGTACTAAAGGTAATCCATGCTTTTCTTCCCTTTTCTTTTCTATATATATATATATATATATAGATATATATATATATACATATATATACACACACCTTACAATGATTTTATAAATGTACATATTTTTGTTTGATGTAAAACCCAGGAGTGAATAAAGAGGTGGATGTAGCAAAAGTTAGTAGTGTGGCTGCCAGTTTTTGAATCAAGCATAGTTTGGTGCTGTTAGAGAATATTTTCGTACCTTTTACACAGTCTATGCTTAATGTAAATGATAGTAGTAATTATAGTGGAGAAAGTTAAAGTTGATGTGGCCGCCACCAAAAGTTGATAGTAGCAAACCCGGAATTTTCTCGTACTTCAGGGATTTTTCTCTCCAATCGCAGTAGATGTAATCAAGTAAACGTCACTGTGGTAAGGTGGATTAACCTTCAGTTACGTTTACAGAAGTCGCTGAATAGATCGTCAAGTACATTTCTAGTCTAAGCGGTTTCAAAGGCAGTTACTTAGGGATGGGTACGTCAAATTTAGTAAGCTATCAGCAGTACACTGTACCTGATCGCAGTGAACCTTTGGATGGATCTACTCAGATTTTGGAGGACGATGGCAAACGTACAGAGGTACGTGTCGAATTTCTAATCCTATCACAGCTTTCAATAGATGATTTTTGCAGCCAAGGTTTGAAGAATCGATCCGCATATCCTTCTTATTCAAGGTATTCACTTCATGTGGCAGGTGTGGAGAGTACCTGTGGGTGATGAAGTGTGGGAAATGCTGCGACCAGATCTCAAATCGCTCCCCCCGCCTTACCAGTAAATTGGCTTGCCATTTCTTAAAAGCAATCCCGAATGAAGCGTTTACACACACAATTTGACTGATTAGATACTGTAACCTCATTTTCTATTATGGATGAACTTTCATGTGTTTTCATAATATTCGCCCACAGCAATTTTAATTGGAGATCTGTTACCTACTGTGTCAATTTTTATGTAGCTGGAGGTCCCACCAACCATTATTTTACTTATGTTTTTTTTTTTTTTTTTTTTTTTCTTTTTTTTTCTTTCTACCTCTATTTGCCGTGGTATCTAGAAAGGCAAAGACGTACCATGTAGGAGTGCATCCCAGTGGACTTGACGTTCCCTATATTCGGAATCTAAGAAACTCAGGTGCAGAAATTGTCAGTGTTGAAGTCTACACTCATGCCGAGGAGGTCATCCCTCGTTCTGAGCTTCAGTATGTACACTTTACCTTTTTAGATGGTTGTTGAAAGACTGATTGGACAAGGATATTCCTTGTAAAGTCGTTCAATCGTGCTTTTTCACAATTTACATCTAGACAGTTATTCCTAGTGGTTGCATGGGTAATGTTAGATATTCAAATCCAATATCAGATGCACGTGTGCATGAATGACTTAGTGACGTACATAGTTTGTCCTTGATCTGTCGACAACACCAAAGATCTACTGGTTGCAAAGTCACATGCTGGTTATTTGACTTTCTCCTTAAGTTTCTGCTAGCTCCCATCTAACTTTCAACAGTTCCTTCTCAACTGGGATTTCATGTATCTATTATCCTTCCCGATTCCCATGTAAATGTTCTCTGCAAACTTGTTTTCAAGGGCTGTGAATTTTAACGAAAATAGATGACGAGTACAAGGAAAGTAACATTTATTTATTACACAGGGCCTTGGTTTCAGCTGGTCATATATTCTCTCCAAATGAGAGAGAGGCGATTTCTCTGGTTGGACCTGGGCCACCTTTGGAACTGATTGCGCGGCTGTCTGAACTGGGTGCTGAGGTGCATTTCCAGGCGCAATTCATTTCTTCATGTTGGTTTGTTTTGTTTTTATTTTTCTTTATTTTTCTTTTTGTTGAAAAAAATATGCAAAAATCATCCTTTGTATTCTTTCTCTTGGACAATTACAGAAGTATATGGTGTTTGAGAATCCATTGAAGGAGGTGTGAATCACTGTGATCATTTAGCTACAGTATTCGGAGCAATGAATCTAGTTCGGGTCTGTACATGTGATCTCTTGTTTACTATCCCTCTCAGACAGTCTGGTTCCACAATAATATCTTTTTAAGTTCGATTATGCTTCATTCAAGAGAACTCTTGAGATGATCCGTAGCACTTACATTGTCATAACTTGTGTAGATTATTGTCTTACGACGGGGACATCTGGGCTGTATGGTGCACAGGTAAGAGCATCTGGTGCTGATTTAGGAGTTTTCTGGTCTGCATTTCTAGATCCAGCTTTTGTGAAATGAGGTCGAGCAGATGAAAACCTGCACACGATTGTTGAAACACTTGTTTTAGTGCTACGTAAGTTTTTGCTACTCCTCTCACCCAGATGTTGATTGTACTTTGACTTTGGAAATCTCTTTAATTAGAAGGAAAATTTGATCTAGTCTCTGAAGGTTATAAATCGGGCATTCACATGGCAGGTCTTTCCCTTGAATATTCTGTTGAACAGCACCTGATGTCTACGTGACCGAATTCTAGCTAAGCGATGTTACTTTGGCGTGGCAGGTCGGACACAAAAGAGACCTGGGATGTACCAGCGTTTCACACACTAATCAACGAAGGCAGTAATGATGATGACACAAACCGGACAAAAGTGCAAAAAGCCAGTCTCGAAGGACTGGACGTGATGAATATTCTGGATCCCACAGGATGTGGAAATACGTTTTGTGGCGGTTTTTTAGCAGGATGGTACAAGACTCGGAATCTGCTGACTGCAGCTTTGTGGGGTAGTGTTTCAGCCAGCTTCAGTAAGCCATTCTCCTCATATCTTCACGTGCTCCGTAATCTCTCTTGCTCTTCTGCATCAAATCACTTCCAAGTATCGGCAGTTTGTTTCTGATTTTATTTGAATTGGTGTTGATTAAGATTCCCTTTCCTTTATGCAAAGGGATCAAAAATGTTGGGATTATCTTGGGGTGAAGAGACAATCTTAGCTTCTAATCGCAAAGTAATTTACTGCATCTAATTGGCAATTGATACATGAACTTGATTGCAGTGTTGGAGTACGAAGGCGTTCCTCCACCTCGGGTCTCTGAATGGAGAAGTGTAGCCCAGCTGCGTTTTGATCGTCTCCGACCATATGCAAAACAAATTTCTTCAAATAAAGATCACCTTTTAAGGTCTTCACAGTTAAGGTGTGAGCAGCCTAGAGCATAATCTGTTTGATAATGATGATGCCTTGGAAATGGTGATGTGATGTCATCAACCATGGATTTCTTCCTGGAGCGGCACAAATCGGGAGTCATGCTCATGACAGAGACGACAGCCTCCCCGAAGCAACGGTATCGACAAGAATCAGGTGCCTTGTTCAGGTTTAGATTAGGTTTTAAGAGCAGATAATCTGGTGAAAACTGGTGTGCTGAATTTGGTTTTCATATTATGAGGGCACTTGTTGAATTCAGCATTCGAATCGAGTAAGTTCCGATTGGACTTTCCATCCGCTGAATACTCTTGCCTATTGTTGTCTATTATTGAAATAATTAAGCTGTAAATTTTTTTCATGGAAATTTTTGTACTCAAATCCTTGTGGGACCATCAGTTCAGAAAACTTGTATCATCCTGCTTCTCAACTGGGACAAGCTTGTCAAACGTCCACTACCGTACACACTGTACATTAGAGATATTATCTATTACTATGCACATGACATCACGCTGCTTGCATATAAAACCCGTGAGGGCAAGACTGAGTCTCAAGTGGAACTGTCCTACGTGGGATCTAACTGCACAGTTGATTACATGATTCTTGGTGCTGAATTACGATAAGATTCATTCCAAGATCCTGGCGAGGCTGCAGTGTTGCCGAGCAATACTTCAGCGTATGCACACAACAATGCGCAGAATGTGCTTACTGAGGTGCATGAGAACCATGGAAGATTCCTCTCTTCGTTCAGTGATACACAATTGTAGAACTTCACGGGTACTTTCCTGCTCGATATTCAAACTCGCATTATCTTCGCCTGTATAATGAAAAAGGTCACTCTCACCTGTGGTCTCGTGCTCTCATCTCCGACAGCAGAATTCCGAAAAATGATATCTACAGCAGAATGGACTGCACTGCATCGACAAAAATGTGGCTTACTGTGGTAAGTACTTCCAGTCCTTCGAACTAAGACCAATAAACCCACATCGGCATCATACTTGTGGAGGCTTCATTGACCGGCGTACTGCAGAAAACTGAAACTTAACTACTCCATGAACATGAACTGATAGATTCACACACACACACACTCTCACATTCCAAGTTTGTTCGAATCTTGTTGAACTCCATTCGGGTAGCCTTCTCATGCAACGTGAAGACCAAGAATCAGTGTCTCTTTACCAAGCAAAGCACCCCACAAAGCACGAACCCTGTTCGACCTGCAACTCTTTCTTGAATTCTAGTACTTCACTGAGCGATCGGTGCATGTCTAGATTGTTGTAGCTCCTTCGAGACTGACCTACGTAGAGGTGGGTACTTGTTGTATATTATTTCTCAGTTGAGGCCAGATCATTGCACATCTCTCTCTCTCTCTCCCTCTCTCTCACACACACACACACTCGGACATGGTTATCTGACCCCAGATCAACTTCAAGGATCGATGTGCCCAAGCCAATCCTTCAGCTTTCCACAGCTAAAAGTTAAGTTCTAACGTAACAAAATTATGTTAAAACACGCAAAGGATGAAAAGTTCACATTAAACTTGAGTTTTGTGCATAATATGAAAGAAGATGTGAAGAAAACGTGTGAAGTTGATCAACAGAAGCAACATCCTTCTTTTTTAACCCATATACTAATTATTGAACTTCAGCTATCTTAATCTACAAAATTAATCATATTTTTTTATTAAATAATGATTAATAATTCTTAATAGAGTTAATAGATATTCATGTATATTTTGTAATAAACTTAATAAAATTTATTAAGCTTGTTAATAAGATTTACAAAGTCATAACAATTATGTTGTTTATTAATATATTAAAAAAATAGTATCTATATTTATATATCCATCTAAATTATAATACATTTATTTATATGTCTATTTATCTATGAGTATATCTAAAATTATTAGCCATTTTTTTTGCTTCAATTAAATGTCTTAACAAATAAGATTTAATTAAGTGTTCCAATAAATAAATAAAAAAGTAGAGAGAGACTCAACATCCAAGGTAAATACCAAGAGACACACTCCATGGACTTTAATCTTGTAGTGTATAGTCAATTTTGCAAGCAACACATGTCATAATTTTATTTTATTTTTTATTAAAATTTTAACATCCTCTACAAGCATTTGGGGCTTCATTGTTTTAACATATAATTTCCATAGAAAAGAAACAGGTTTAAATGTTGATATATATATATATATATATATTCATCCATCCTTATATTATACACATCATAAGTTTTGTTTCTAAGAAACTTTATACAAGCTTTGACTAAATTCAAAAAAAAATCCAATCTCATGGACTAATTTTAAATATAAAATATTATAAAAAACATATAAAATACAAAACATAAGAAAAAATAAAAATTACATACGTATATATAAAAAAAATACACAAAATTAAATACATACAAGGATTCAAAAGCTATTTGTATAATGTAATATATTACAATTATATTGAAGGAATAATAATCTTAAAACATTCAGTAGCAAGCATATACAAGACATAAATTCTTATTCAATCTAAAGCCATAAAAGATATTATTTTGTGATGTATATATATATATATATATATATATATATATAGTGTAAATTATTTTAAAATTAAATATATATAATTAATTTTTTTATATGTTAAAGTAATTTTTTATGTATGCATATAATATAATAGTATTTATTTATAATTCAATTTATGTCTTATAATTAAATATTTTTATTATGAAATTAGAATATTTAATATGAATATAAATATAAACATGTATCAAACTAATAATAGAACTATAACAATTTATAATTTTTCATTAACTATGACCATACATAGTTAGATTTTTTGTCTAATTATTTATTTTAATAAACTAACTAATAAGACTTGTTACAATTTATATTTTAAAGGCTAAATTTTTTTTTAAAAAAATGTGCTACTAAATAACCATTAATAGCTTAAAATATATGGTAATTGATTGTAATTTTAGAAAAAATAAAATAAAAACTAGTTATTCAATATTACAACTAGAAATGTATGTAGGATTATAATTTATTTGAATAATTTTAAAATAATGCCACATTCTAATGTTGTTAAAGCCACACTCATCTTGCCATCTCATCATTGATTCTATCCATCTCCCATCTATGTTCCTTATTTCTAATCCTCCATTTCCATTATGTTCTTTATTTTCAATCCCCCATCCATATTTTTCCTTTACAGTCTCCTATCTCTATTCCCCCTTTTCAATCTCATGTCTCTATTCTCTATCTCATGTCTCTATTCTCTATCTCATGTCTCTATTCTCTATCTCATATCTCCTATTCTCTATCTCATGTCTCTATTCCCTATCTCATGTCTCTATTCCCTATCTCATGTCTCTATTCCCTATCTCATGTCTCTATTCCCTATCTTATGTCTCTATTCCCTATTTCCTATCTCATGTCTCTATTCTCTATCTCATGTCTCTATTCTCTATCTCATATCTCCTATTCTCTATCTCATATCTCCTATTCTCTATCTCATGTCTCTATTCCCTATCTCATGTCTCTATTCTCTATCTCATATCTCTTATTCTCTATCTCATGTCTCTATTCTCTATCTCATGTCTCTATTTCCTATCTCATGTCTCTATTCTCTATCTCATGTCTCTAATTCCTATCTCATGTCTCTATTCTCTATCTCATGTCTCCTATTCCCTATTTCATGCTTCTATTCTCTATCTCATGTCTCTATTTTCTATCTCATGTCTTTATTCTCTATCTCATGTCTCTATTCCCTATCTCATGCCTCTATTCTCTATCTCATGCCTCTATTCTCTATCTCATGTCTCTATTCTCTATCTCATGTCTCTATTCTCTATCTCATGTCTCTATTCTCTATCTCATATCTCCTATTCTCTATCTCATATCTCCTATTCTCTATCTCATGTCTCTATTCCCTATCTCATGTTTCTATTCTCTATCTCATGTCTCTATTCTCTATCTCATATCTCTTATTCTCTATCTCATGTCTCTATTCCCTATCTCATGTCTCTATTCCCTATCTCATGCCTCTATTCTCTATCTCATGCCTCTATTCTCTATCTCATGTCTCTATTCCCTATCTCATGTCCCCTATTCTCAGTGTTGTAGTTCCATGTTCTCAAATGCTTATTTCTGTCCTTTGTCCTTCTTCTCCAGTCTTCTATTTTATAGTCTCCAGTTCTTTGTTCTCTAGATCTTCATTCCTTAGTCCTTATTTCCAACCCTAACACTATTATCATATAAATGTAAAACTTCTAAAATGGTTTATTGAAGATTGGTGGCACATTTTGGAAGCAAAAGATTTATATTTTTTTGTTAATGTAACCCTAAAAGACTAACAATAAAAAAATTATAAAAATATAATCTATCATGAAAAGAATAAAAGAATAAAAAAATAAAAATGATTGATGTAATAGCTGATGAAAAAAATATCATAAAAATATTATACATATACATGAGATTCAAAATTGTACATAGATTTTTCAATAATAAAAACCTACTTACAACAAATGTATGGTCAAATCATTGATGTGGAACCAAAATGAAATAAACATTAATCCATTGTAAGGAATAGAATTATGCACACCAATATTAATGCATTGTGTGTATGTATGTATGTATATACATACAAACATAAACATTTGAAACTTCTATAAATGTTCAAATGGTTGTAAGGTTTTTTTCCCATATATATATATATATATATATATATAACTTAAAATAACAAAGCTATAATTCTAAATAACTAACTAATCATTAAATTAAATAAATTATAATTGAAATATATAACCATCCAAAATTTTAATGTAATACTTATTATATTTTTTTAAATGATAAATTTAGGCATAATTATTTAATTTGAAAAAATAATACAATAATCTAGATTTTTTAATATTTAAAAAATATATAGTTATTTATTTTGGAAATTTAAAGTTTAAATTTATGGAGATTAAGAAAGATCATCCTAGACACTTATCTGTTCACAAGGATATACAATTCATATTAATATGTAATTAAAAAATAAAAATTATCTGTATTTTTTACAAGTGATAAAAGCTAAGATCATTTTTAGATCTTTTCTTTTTTTTCTTTTTTTCAAGACCAGTAGAACTTGTAAGGTTACAACAAAAAGATAAATAAATAAATAAATAAATAAATAACTACACTTAAAGTAAACGTTGAAATGACCAATAATAGATTTATTTTTGACTTGTCAACAGTTTTGCTTTTAAGTTCAAAGAATCTGTTGAATTATTTTATGAGACTGATAAATAATGCTTTTTAGATTATAATCTTATTTTAGTTTTTTATAAAAATAAATAAATATGATTTTTTTTTTTTTTGTAAAAGTGATCAAA